GAGGACGAGCGTTTGTTTAAGTTGGGGAGGATGTGACGACCCAACCCGCCGTCTCATGTATTACAGCCCCGTTTCCCCCATTTATTGCTCTTTCATGTTTTATTATCAGCAACGGGTGAGTTAGAGTTAAATTGAATTGGTTTGAATAGGAAGTGAGACACTTAGTCCCTTTAAGGAAGGTTTGGGTTGGAAAAGTCAACCGAATATTGACTTATTAGTTAGAGGGCTCGGATGTGAATTTTGGTGATTCGATTAGCTTCGGGAGGTGATTTGTGACTTAGGAGTGCGATCGGAAGTGATTTTGGAGGTCCGGAGTGGAATTAGGCTTGAATTGGCAAAGTTGGCATTTTGGCGAATTCCGGTGGATAGTTGAGATTTTGATCCGAGGGTCGGAATGGAATTCCGACAGTTGCAGTAGCTCCGTTAGGTGATTTTGGATATGGGTGCAAAATTTCAGGTCATTCGGAGGTGTTTTGGTCGGGTTTCTGATCGAATGCGTAATTCGGAAGTTTTTAAGAAACTTAGGCTTGAATTCGATGTGATTTGATGGTTTTAGCGTTGTTTGATGTGTTTTAAGGATGAGAACAAGTTTGAATGAGGTTTTAGGATGTATTGGCATTTTTGGTTGAGGTCCCGGGGGCCTCGGGGTGAATTCGGGTGGTTGAACGAGAGGTTTTGAGGTGTGTTGCAGGTCTGTTGCTGCTATCATCTGGTATTTCCGCTTCTGCGGAAATGGACCGCAGAACAGTTCCGCAGAAGCGGGTGAGCGATCGCAGAAGCGGCCAGGTGTGGGTTAGGGTAGTTCCGCATAAGCGGAAGTTGGTCGCTTCAGCGGGTCCGCATAAGCGGACATTGTACCGCAGAAGCGGTTTTGAGGGAACCGCAGAAGCGGAGTTCGAGTCGCATAAGCGAAATCCTAAGCGGATTTTTGGCCGCAGAAGCGGTCCCGCATAAGCGGAAGCGGGACCGCATATGCGAAAATCGCTGTTGACAGAAGGGTTTAAAATATTATATTTCATCCGCGAACAAGAGGTAGTTTCCACCATTTTTAAGCGACTTGGAGAGCTTTGGGCGAGGATTTTCGAAGGTTTTGACTGAGAATCAATTGGAGGTAAGTCTCTTGGCCTAATTATTCGAGTTCATGGTAGAAATTACATGTAAATTGTGGAAAATTCATCAAAAACGGGTCAAGTTAGGGCTTGGAAAGCTGTGATGTAAAAATAGATTTTGAAAGGGCATTTGAACTCCGATTTTGGTAAAAGTGGTATGTGTAGACTCGTGGCGAGATGAGGAATCCCGTGATGTAAATTTCGTAATTTTTTGAGAAGTAGGCCCGGGGCTCGGGTTTTGCCAACTTCGTGAATTTTGGTGTTTTTCGAGTCTTTTCGATTGGGTTATGTTTCTTTAGCCTATTGTAATGTATTCGTTGTGGTCTTAATCAGATTCGGCGTGCGAAGAGGTTGATTCGAAAGGCAAAGGCATAGCGAACTAGACTTGTGGCCGTCTTGAGGTGAGTAATAGATGTAGATGATGACCTGAGGGTTTGAACCCCCGTGTATATCACATTGTGATGCTATATTGAGGCAAGACACGTACTCTATGACGAGTGCGGGGTCGATTGTGACTGGGAATTTTGACCTAGTCCGTTTCGATTGATGTTCGTACTGTGTTCTTGACTAGAAATTGTTTGGTAATCATCCTACTTGGATTTTATGAATATGTTTGGGGCTTTGTGCCTATCATTTGCATCCTTCAGGGATCCTTATCACTGCTTCCATGATGTTTAGCATATTTCATGATATCAGTCCTGAATTAGACACTGCCTCGAAATGTTTAATAAATAAATAAAGGTTTAAACACTTAGCTCTATAATTCCTAATAATTGAGACCAAAATGAATAATCTGACTGTGCCCGAGTGGCTTGCATACATATATATATCTGGTCTGAGTGTGGATCGGGCTGCACGCCGCAGCGAATGTTACGATGATATTGCGCTTGGGCTGTAGGAGCCCCTCCGGAGTCTGAACCCCCACAGTGAGCGCGGGTACCCAAATGGATCGGGCTGCGCGCCGCAGTGGTCATGTGCATTGCATTGCATTCATGCATTTTATATCTGTTGGTCTTAATTGTCATTGTCTGCTGTTGTTTCATCGTTTAACGTGCTGAATCATTGATTATAGCTTTATATTGTAATATTTCGGGATTTATTACATTCAGCCATTATATATGTTTATTACTCACTGAGTTGGAAGTACTCACTTTACTCCCTGCACCATGTGTGCAGATTCAGGTGCTCCGGAGACTTAGTGGAGCTGTTTGCTGTTTTTCGTGAAGTTATTTTCAGGAGTTGTTGAGGTAGCTGCCTGACGTCCGCAGGACCCGACTCCTCCCCTTCATTTCATTTGTCTTTCCATATCCTAGACTTCTTTATTAATATGGATATATTACTCTGTTACATCTAGAGGCTCTAGACTCGTGACTCCAGATCTATTGGGGAATGTTGGGATATTCGTTATTATTTTCCATACTATTTTATTTAGTTTCGGATTGGAACCTTGATATTTGCTATTTTAATCGTATTATTTGTTAAAGGATTGCGTATTTGGGTTGAGAGTATTTAAATTGGTCGGGCTTGCCTGGCATTAGTGTTGGGCGCCATCACGACCGGGATTGGGGTCGTGACAGTCATGCATGCAAAAATTATGATACTGGTCAATGTGCTCCTAAGTATATTCTTATCCCTGAATTCAACTTTCGTCTTTCGAAACTAAGGAATATCCTTTTAAATTTGTGTGAAAATAAATTTTAGTATGTTTATGTTTTGTAAATATAATAAATAAAGCACAAAGACAAACATCCTAAATATTGGACTATAATTTCTTGCACGCACAACTGTATGTTACACTTTCAAGAGAGATATCAAGATCGACAACAAGAGTTTTGGTTAAGGCAGAGCAACCTAAGCATTAGGAGAAAACATACACAAAAAATATATTGTCGACAAAGAAGTGTTCGTTAAGATACCATCACATTAAATACTTTTAAACTATAATACATAATTATCTAACTAACATTACCAAATTGATCATTTGTGTAAGTTTTAATGATGTCCTTTTATTTTAAATTCATGTATTGTGCTAATGTAATAATATTTTTCGGCATTTAGATGATTGTTGTATTATTATACACAAAATTTTTCTCATTAATTAGTTTTATTGTTCCTTCATATAAATAAATATTTAAATCATCGCATGTCATTATTAACGTGCAACGCACGTTCATAGATACTAGTATAATATAGACATGGGATAACTTATCGCAATTTAAATAATTGGCGAGCATGTATATTCCTTATTAAAAAAATGGCAATCTTTAACAATTAATTAAATGTCCAAATTGCTCATAGAAAATGGAATTTGGTCTTTATCTTAATGAGAAGATTAAAACCCAATCCAAATATTTAATTTGTTGAGTAAACTTAATCTTTCAGTCACTGATCACATTCTTAGCTTGCAGATTCCAATAGGATCAGAACAAACCTAAATAAATCAATAACTTGTTCTAGTTGATGAAAATTGATTGTAAAATGACCTTAAAAATAAAATAAAACAAGTTGTTATTCTATCTCATTTTCCTTTCACTATCAGTTATCCCTCATCATCGGAAAAACTTCATTTTTGATCCCTTTACTGATCAGTAATTTTCTTCAAAAAATAAAGTTGAAAAATACCATATATAAGTGTCTCAAGTTAATGGACTAGCAAACTCCTACGAGTATAAATTAGTATTTTTAAATATGTTAGTTTCTAAATATAGTGGAGTGAAGAATATGATATCTTCACCCTTAATTATAGTTTTTGCGTTCGCGCCTTGAGAACAGAAAAATTTCTGACAACAAACGTCACGCGACGCATCCTTTAGTAATATTATTCGCTTTAAATCTATAGTGCATTATTAAGATCTAAAATTTGCTTCCTGAAAAAAACATCTCATCTTTCTTTACCAATTTGGAATTTGCCTAGATTGTTACAACTTAATATTTCAATTCCTTAATTCCGATATTATTAAATCTAAAGTCAAAATCTGGAGTTTACAATTGCAAATTTTGCTCAATATTCAATCATCTTATCCTATTGGATCCTTCAAATTTTTACGTTGAACAATCCAATTATGACTATTTATTAGTATATTGAACACATACAATCTTATCTGATATGAAGAGAGAAAAAGATTTTGAAAACGAGCTCATCAATTTAGCTAGGTACTCTACATTATTTTTTATTTATTTTAAAAACAATAATAACAACAAAATAGTACAGTGTTGTTGGTTGCTTCATCAATTTAGCTAAGTACTCTACATTATTTCTTGGGTTAAAAAATGATCCAAATAACATGTCATTCAATTTCGAAGTCAAAAAGCCGTGGTCTCAAATATTTAAACGGAAAAGGGCAAATATATTCCTGTACTATCAGAAAAGGTTTAAATAGTCCCTCGTTATACTTTGAGTCCATATATACCCATGTCGTTATACTATTGGTTCAAATGTACCATTTTCCGTTAAGTTTGTCCAAAGTGGACATCTAATCATACGTGACATTGACATTTGATGAGGCGGATGCCACATGGTTTGCCACCTCAGCGCCCCTAATATATTTTGCCCCTCCTTTCTATTTTTTTTCCACCACTAAAATTTCCTTCCCCTCCACCACTATTGCCTTACCATGAATAAAATTGTATTTCAAAATTTAGTCATTTATATATGGATTAGGGGCGCTGAGGTGGCATGCCATGTGGCGACCTCATCAAATATCAGTATCACGTAGGATTGGATGTCCACCTTGGACAAACTTAACAGAAAAAGGATATATTTGAACCAATAGTATTACGGACGGGATATATTTGGACTTAAAGTATAGCGAAGGATATATTCAAACCTTTTCTCATAGTACATGAATATATTTGGCCTTTTGCCGATATTTAAAACCATGCAAATAGTAGTACATAAGTAAAAACAAAATACATGTACGTGATGTCCATAATAAATAAACTGAATAAAGAGACCTTTACAAATTACAAACTTTCAAATTACATTGGAGAAAATTCTCCACCTACACTAAATTTATCTTTCTTTTATGCCCCCTTTTACTTAAACTAAAAATCAACAAATACAAACCATACAAATCTTGAACCAAATTCCCTTTTTTTTTTTCTTTTTTAATTATTTCAAACCCTACAATTATTTTATTGTGGGCTTAATTAAAATAAAAAATGAACAAACACTCCCACCTAACCTTAATCTTATTTTTGTACACATACCTTTTTTGAATCATCATTTCTCTCCTTTTCACCTTTCCATATCTGATGGTGATGCAAATATTTTCCCCATTTCAAGAAACCTATTTGATTCAACATTATTTTTGCTTGTTTTCTGTGCTTCAACATCCTCCAAATCATCTTCTTGTTCCTCAAATTTGCTATTCAAAGAATGATACTCAACTTTCTCTTGGAAAATCTTGATCATAACTAAGTAAAGTGTGACACAAAAAATTGTAATCCCAACTAAATACCAACTAAATTGAATATTTACTAAAGATTTTGCTCTTTCAAGATCTTCATGATTATGGCACCTAACCACTTTGTGACCTTCTTCTAAGTTTATAAAACAACCTTTTGGGATAAATTTAGGTGTCCAAAGCATAAATCCCATAACCATAAGCCAAATTCCTTGAAACATAATGCTATAAGATCTCACAAAACTATTCAAGAAACTTTTAGGAAAAGGAATGGCCAAAAGTGTAGTGGCTAAAGATGCAAAAATAACAATTTGGAGTAGCCAATGGTATTGTCCTTCAACTCCCATATGGTCAGTAGAATGAAGATGGAAAAGAAGAAGTTGTTGACCAAAAGCAATAGCTCCAAGAAATTGTGTGAGCTCATATTTTGCATGGGGTGAAGGTGTAATTTTGTCAAAGATTATGGTGAAAAGTGCATAGACAAAGAAAGTTAGGGATATATTTGAATGTTCAAAATTGTGTAGATGGTTAGAAGGGATAGTTCCATCAAAATCTAGAGGTTGGTGTTTTTTTGGACCAATAAATAGTTCCATAGATATAGAGGCTAAGCAACTACCCATAATCAAGAAAAGTTCTAAGTACCTAATTCTTGGAGTTGGAAACCAAGGCAAAGAAATGTAGGATTTTGGGTGCAAAGCATGTAACCTAATATGGTTAATCAAATGCCAAATACCAAGTAAAAAGAAGCCAAATCCTGGTGCTACATGCCCAACTAAAGTACCCATTTTTTGCTTGTTTTCTTGGTCTAGCAAAAGTTGCAAAAATAGCCCTTTTTAATTCTTCTTGGTTTTGGAGAGTTAGAGGTATGGTAAAGAAGGGGGAAATCTTTGTACAAATTAAGTGGTGTGATGGAAAAGAGAGGGAAATGAAAGGGGGTTATATAAGGGGTAGGTTTGTACAAAAATTAAGAGAATTGTGAAGGTCTAGAGACTTCTATTTGGGGTTAAAAGTTTGAAAATTTTGGACTTCTTTTGGGTGGGGTGGGGTGGGGTGAGGTGGGGGTTGGGGTGGGGGGTTAAGACTTAAGATGGTTTTTTTTTAGGTGGCTTGAGGAATAAGAGTACAATTAAAATTTGGCATTAAGAAGAGTTGACCATTGGCCATGAGGCTGAGGTGGCTATTTTGTTTTCTAGAAGGGCTAGTTTTTTAATGTTCCAGTAATTTAAAAAATACTCACTTTTATCATGTTTCTTCTTCCATTTTCATCCAAGTGCTAGAATTTTTCTTTCTGTCACTATCAGAGATTTATTTTGTGTTTTTATAGCATCTAGTTTTGTTATAAAGATTGGAGCAGTAATTATTAATTGAAAAATTGCTCCAAAGTTTATCTAAGCATTTATGAAAATAATATTAAATGTATGATCTTTCCATGGTTGTGAATATAACCAAATTGTTCAGGATTCATGTGTTTGGTTTTGGGGATGTATTTTTATGATTATCTGAATAAAGTAGTTTAAGCACATAATAAAACACTTATAAAATGGTGTATTCTTTTAACAGTGATTTTAACTATTTTTGTCGGGTTAGAGTTTATACTTACGTTAATTAGTTATAGTCTGAAAGGATAGTGCTACGATGCACCAGACTCGATTATAAATTTACACTACTAGAAAACTGCCTAAAACCGTCTAGAAATACCGAGTGAAATCAGTCGGAAAACTAAATAAAACGATTGATTTTCGAACGACTTTAATACGTCGAAATTAAGTTGGTCGGTAAAAAATAGCGACCGAAGTCGGTCGCAATTTTCGACCATTTTTGGTCGGTAAATTAGTTTTCACAAACGACCCAAAAAGAAAGAATCTGTTGAAAAAATCGACCGAAGTCGGTCGGTATTTTTAGTTATGCAATTAAAAAATGCACCATCTAGGACTCGAACCAAGGTCTGTATTGTGGCAGGATACTATTCTACCACTAGACTATTGGTAAATTTAGGTTTAAGGCTTTCTTTTAATTTATTTGTACTCATCAATTGCATTTTCGCACAAAATTTACCGACCGATTTCGGTCGGGTTTATTAAAAATATAAAATTACCGTCTGAAGTCGGTCGGTTTTTTAAAATGACTAACTGAAATAACCGACCGATTTCGGTTGGTTTCTTAAAATATTAATTTCGTTGGATGCTAAAATAGTTTCTCGCATTTTTGCGCAAAAAAAACGACCGAAGTTGGTCGATTTCGTAAAAAAATAAATAAAAAAACCGACCGACTTCGGTCAGTTGGCCGCGGACGATTTTGGCCGAATTTCTTGTAGTGTTATGATCACATTCTCCATATGGCCACTTATCTCTTTCTTTTCCGAGTTCTGGTTATGAAAAAAGGATTCGAGAAAAAGGGGTAAGTGGTGAATTAATTAAAACGTCTGATTAGTATTTTATTGTGTTTGTGAATAAACAAGACCCAATAACTATTAATGTGAAATTGTTCCAAAGTCCATGTAGGCACTAGGCATTTAGTATGAAAATATATGAAAATATTGAATGTATGTTATTATCTTTCCATGATTGTAATTCATGTGATTCATATCCAAATTGTTCTGGATTCATGTGTTTGTTTTGGGGAAGTATTTTTATTCTAAATGAATAAAGTAACGTTTAAGCACATAATAAAATACTTAGGGGTCATTTGGTTTGAAGATAAGTCATCTTAAGATAAGTTATGTTTGGGTTAATTATCCTGATATTATTTTTTATTGACTGTTTAATATGTTGTATTAATTTTGGGGGTCAATTTTACCGCTTTATCTTGAGAGAACTTATTCTAGAATTAGTAACCAAACAAGGGATAAGACATTACTAAATTTTTATCCCAGAATTATTTTTGCTTATCCATCATACCAACTGACCCCTTATAATATAGTGCATTATTCTATGAGTAATTGTAATTATCTTCACTCCCCCCCCCCCCCCTTCCCCCCTCCTTCAATAATATATATCTAGTTAAATTTGTACTTACATTAATTGGTTATAGTTTAAAAGGATAATTGTGTGGTTCAAGTAATAGATTAAATAAAAGGTCAGATTAATATTTATTGAGTGTGGGGATAAACAAGGATCAATAGCTATTGGCCTGAAATTGTTCCAAAGTCTATATAAATATTTATGAAAACATTGAATGCATGTTTTCATCTTTCCATGATTGTGGTCATAACCAAATTGTTCAGGATTCATGTGTTTGGTTTTGGGAAGTATTTTGATTTTATATACTCCTTCCGTCTCATATTAATAGTTATGGTTATTAAAAATAGTTATCTTAAATTATTTATTATTTTAGAAGTTCAAGACAAAATTAATTATTTTTTCCTTTTTTACCCTTAGTAATAATTATTCTTGAAGATAGAGATAACACATAAATAGAATAAATATTCAATGAAGAGAGATTATATCTTAAGACATAAATAAGGGTAGAATAGTCTAATCCATTTCCTAATTAATTTTTCTTAAGGGGCGTGCAAAAGAGAAACACGACAAATAATATGAGACAGAGAGTATATATATATTACTCAGACTTTTCAAAAATATTAGTGAGTGCACGAGTAATTTATTTTTGAAGGATCTGATACGCACGATAATATTTTTGAAGATTGGGAAGTAAAGGTTATATGTGATCACCACTAGTTAACCTCAAGATTTTATCTAAAATAAGAACATCCTAGTAGTAGACGGACTATTTGATATTCCTTTTCCTTAGTGAAAATACTTTTAAAGAATTTTATATAATTAATGTTTGTCTGATTATTTTCATCATATATTACCTACTAATTCAAGTTACGCACTCAAAGTTCACTATAAATGATTACTAATGTTCGATTGCATTTACGTATCTTCATTTTGTAATAAAATTTTAGCTGTCAATGACTAAAATTAAATTCTTTGACATTATTGACCAGAGAAAGAAGAATATTGCAAAGATTGGAATAAATGTAATCAATACTATAAGCAAAGAGAGACAAAGAGAAGAAAATATATGATGGGAGAAATCTCAATATAGACAAAAAATATTAGATAATTTATTTTTATTTTGGTGACCATATTTAAACGTTTGTATGTGTTGGTAGCGAGAGCTATCAGTTAAGCAAAATAATTAAGGTGCGCACAGACCGCTCTAACAATTGTTATTATAAAATAAAATAAAATAAAATTCTATGGGTGACAGAGAATTATTTCTAAGGAATGACAAATCACAAAAATATTGCCATTTGAAAACCATCTAAAAACAAGTATTATCCTAGAAAGTTTGACTAGTAATAAAACCTGACCTCAACATAAGAAAAAATTGACATTTTTACACTGATTTTTCTATGCTATTTCCAAATATTTTTAACACAAAAATACTTTAAATTGACCTTTTCTTTTTCACTTTAGAAAATTATCACAAAAAATTCGAGAAATGTTGAAATAAATCTGTAGTTTCTCTTATTTGACTTTACCATGAAATCCTCAAAGAGTATTTTGACTAAAAAATTATAAGGGGCAAATTGGTCAAAATGTTTTATTTCAGCGCACGTTTGGAAAGCGCGGTTGCGCCGGCGACGGCGCTATGACTTTGAACATTATCTCTTATTTAAATGTAAACTATTCTAAAAGGACTTATTACTTGATAAATTTCAAATACTATGTTACTTTTATTTGTCAAAAATAAGTTGGAATATTCTTAATTAATTCTGATCATTTTTTATACCTTTTGGCCTTTTCTTTGAAAAAGAATACATCCTCTATTTCTTATAAAACTTCTCCCTCAATATACAAATCTATTCTTCTCTGCCGGTATCCGGTATTTATATCAACCCAATAAATACATGACATATGTCTTTAATATACACTCTTATCACTAAACTATAGTTAACTAATACATATTTTTACCTTAATTTATATCGTAACCAGTGGCAAAATCAGAATTTTTTCCAAGAGTGTTTAGACTTAAAAGAAATTAAAAAAAAAAAAATCCAGCAAAGAGTGTTCAATATATGTTATATACATCTAAATTTAATATTTTACTTATATACACAGTGTAATTTTCGTAATATTTCGACAAAGGGCGGTCAATTGACCATCCTCAGCAAAAGGTGGCTTCGCCCCTGATTGTAACCATAATAATTACTCCTAATATAGTTTGATGTAAATTAAACAACGAGTGCAAGTAAGTTTTTACGGCTCTTTTACTATTTTAGGGGCTAACTTTTTTGAATTTTCCCTTAATCATTATAAATATTTAATAAGCCCCATAGAAATTATAGTTTACCCTCTATAGCTATTTTCAACTTTTATTTACTCTTCTTGTACCAAATCAGCAAATCCCAACTTATCTGCTATCCAGATAATGATCTTATTATTTAATTTAAAAACTATTTTCCCACATCACTTGGCTTGTCCACATTGTTCTTTACTTGCACGTTTCCTCCACATTCTCTTCACTAATTTAATTAGATTTTTTCTTTTTAAAGAATCTGTAAAATATAAAAAAGTAAGTAATAAATTAATGGTAGAGTCCAAATGATAAGGCATACAACAAAAGAAGTCATTTTTTTTTCCTCCCGTCCACATATGAAATTATGAAACAGACAATGCTACCACTAAAATTGTGGTGAATCCATCCATCCTTAACTAGATGTATCGAGTTCGAGTCCTTAGAATAATATTTAGTGAATACTTTCCCCTTTAATTAATGAGCCTTAAACAACTTGGATAATTCGTAACCCCAAAGTGGGTACTTGACACCGGTGAAAAAATAAAAACAATTTCAAGGGTAAGATTATTTGGTATTCCCTCGGTCCACAATAAGTGACCATTTTATCTTTGGCACATCCATTAAGGAAATACGAACTCCTAGAGAAAAAAAAATGTATTTACTAAATTAACCTTAATTAATTGTTACCTTGACACA